TTTCATGTTGTCCATGTCCCAACAGTCCATTTTCACCATTCAAAAGTATGAAGATCAGGATTTCATTATCAAATTTATGCAATGATTGAATGATATATATCAATCTACTAGAACTCAGGTCTTGATGAATTCTCATATGCTAAGCATTGAATTAGTTTTCAAGCAAATGGTTCAGCTACAACATCAAATGAAAGGAATGAATTTTGTGAAAGGAAGAGTAGATTCTTAAGCTTTAATGGCTAGTGGTCATCAGCAAAACAAGACTGGACAGTCTAGGAAGAATCTTAGGGACTATGCTACCGAAGGAAAGAAATGGTGCAAGTATTGCAAGAAAGAAGACCATGTCATACTGGATTGTTATAGACTCAAAAACAAGAAAAGGCAGGAAGGGAAACACCCCTTTGTTGGTTCTGTTGACAATAATTTATCTGAAACTGGAGGTTCATCTTTTGGACATACTTCTAGTGCAAGGAATGACATGACTATCCAAAATCTTTTGACTCCAGATAAGTTTGAGAGGCTGAAGATTATGTTGACCAGATCACATTCACCTCCTACCCCCCTCACTTGCCATCTGCTACTTCAGGAGGAATTCCTGCACCACCACCACATACTCATCAAGCTTCTGCCAATGCTGTGATGAAAGTTCCTTCTCTCTTCACAGCCAGTTCTAGTTCTGCAGGTAAACAATCCTTTTCTAGCCTCATTGATTCTTTGCACAAGTCTGAATGTGTGCTTGATACAGGAGCTACATACCATATTACCTGTAGTCTTGATTTCTTTATCAGAAGTAAAACAATTGAGAATGTGTATGTGAATCTTCCAAACAAACAACAGGTTCAACCCACTCACATAGGAATTATTTCTTTGCCTTGTGGACTATTCCTCAATCAAGTCCTTTTTGTTCCAACAAATTGGTTTCTGTAAGTAAGTTGACTCAAAACCATCCAGTTTCATTGGTTTTCAAATCAAACTTTTCTGTATTCCGGATCTTATTACTCGGACGAAGATTGGTTTAGTCCAAGTGGATACAGGATTATACCTGTTTTCTCAGTCCAAAAGTCAGCAGTTTGATTCTAGTAGAGTTGGTCAGCCTTTTGCAGCAAGAGTTTCCCATTTTGAGACCTCAAACTTCAACATCTAGCATGTTAAATTAGGTCATCCTTCTCTGTCTAGAATGACAGATGTTAAGAATCAATGGTAATCATTTATCAAAACAAAAATGATTACCATTTCCTTTGAGTTCCTCTGTCAGTTCAAAATGTTTTGATCTTTTACAAGTGGATATTTGGGGACCATTAAATAAAGTTTCCATAAGTTGTTTTTATTACTATTTAACAGTAGTGGATGACCATAGTAGAGTAGTATGGACATTTCTCATGAAAAACAAATCAGAAACCATAACCTTTTTTCAATTCTTCTGCATAATGGTCAAAACTCAATTCTCCAAATCTGTTAAAATCATACGATCTGATCAAGGTCAATAGTTTCATACGAAAATTTTTTACAGTGCACATGGCATTTCTCATGAGACGAGTTGTGTCTACACTGCCCAACAGAATGGTAGAGTTGAGAGAAAACACCGGCACCTCTTGAATGTTGCCAGATCCCTTAAGTTTCAATATGAACTTCCCCTTCATTACCAGGAAGATTTCATTCTTCATGCTGCTTACCTCATTAACAAAAATACTACTCCAGTCTTAACCACAAAACACCCTTTGAAATCTTGCACAAAGTACCACTAGATTACATGAGTTTAAGAGTTTTTGGTTGCTTGGCATACACAGTAGTTGAGGGTCATAAACACAAATTTGATCCTAAGGCACGTCAATGTGTGTTCTTTGGACTTCCTACAGGATTAAAGGGGTTTAAAATGTTAGACATTAGTACTAGGAAAGTGTTTATCAGTTGAGATGTTGTGTTTTATGAAACTCTATTTCCATTTAAAATCAATGAGCATTTCGACAGAAGTACTTTTAAAGGTGAGTCATTCAATCTCCCTTCCTATCCAGGTTCTTCTTATCATCTGGATGATCCTTGTTCTAGTAATCCTTCCTTTGTTGTCAACCCAGAAACAGAGTTTTCTCCTTCACCTACTGCTATACCTGTTCCACCAAATTTCCCCTTCCTGCTGCAATCCCCTCTCATATCGGGAATGATGATGCATATGCTTCATCCTCACATCATTCTTCTCCTCCTCCTTTACATTCCTCTTCCCCCTCTCCTGATTCCTCCTCTTCAGTTCCTTCTTCTTCTCCATCACTTATATATAGTACCCCCTAGAAAGTCAACAAGGCAGACTGTATTTCCCTCTACGTACAATGATTTCTATTTGGGTATGGCTCAAATCTGTTGTTCTCCCCTTTGGATGCATATGGGTATTTCGAGTAAAATACCACCCTGATTAATGGCCAAAGGCTATAATCAAATTTATGGAATTGACTACCGTGACACTCTCTCCAGTAGCTAAATTGACATATGCTAAAATGTTGTTAGCAATTGCATCTATTAGAACTGCATTTGCATCAAATGGATATAAACAATGCCTTTTTGAATGATGATCTTGATGAGGTGGTGTACATGGAGTTGCCACTTGGTTTGAAGGAGAAAGTAGAATATCAAGGGAAGGTTTGCAGATTGAAGAAATCCCTTTATGGATTAAATAAGCTAGCAGAATGTGGTAATACGAAATTTACTGAGACTCTACTGGCACATGGTTTAAAGAGTCAAGTGCAGATTGTTCTATTCCTCTCCACTATAAAAGGTTCTCCTGTAGTTTTAATTGTCTATGTTGATGACATAGTCATTGAAAGTGTAAATTTGGCAGTGGTTGAAACAATAAAGAGCATGTTGAAATCTGTTTTCGAAATGAAGGATATAGGAGACGTAAAGTAATTCCTTGGTTTGGAGATCAACAAAATTAATGGTGGAATACATGTGAGCCAAATGAAGTATTGTGTTGAATTGTTGAGGGAGGCAGGATTTGATGAGTGTAAACCTGCAAAGACTCCTTACAGTGTTAAGTGGTTTGATTAGTTTACTTTGAAAAATAATTATATTATAAGTACAATATAGGGGTAATATAGTCATTTCGCATATTATTTAATGGTCAATTAACGGAAATAGTGATAGAAGGGTACATTTGTTACGTGACAATAACAAAGAGGTCCAAATGTGAAAAAGATAACAGAGGGTATGTTTGTTAACTTTCAATAATAGAAGGGATTAATTGCATGGTTGGTCACTGAGATTACAAAAAACGTTCATGTTTGGTCACTGAAAATATTTAAATCCAGTCTTGGTCACTCAAATTAGTTAAATGATTCAAGTTTGGTCACTCTCCGTCTATTTCCGTTAACTCCAGCTTACGTGGCAGTCAACTTTCATAGTTGACCGTTAAATACGTGAAATGACAATTAAAAAATTATTAAAAATAAAAAAATAAACTTTTATATTTTCCACCTCATTATTACCTTCATTAAAAAATAAAAAAATATTCAACGAATAAAAAATAAAAAAATAAAAAACCTATAATTGCTCCTAGCTAATCTCCGACCACTCAGCCTCGCAGGCCAGCGACTCCCGGTTCAGATCCCCGAGTTTACAACAGCTCGCCGCCGCGACGGTGAAGTGGAGCGCGATCCCGAGCCCCTCATAAAGCAAATCCAATTCATTCCTAATTATACCTTGCTCTTAATTTCCAACCTCCATCATCATACTTCCTTCCTTGTACCCTGTAATCCATAAGAAAAGCCCAACTTCCCCTGAATCAATTCGATCGAGGAGGAGAAAAAAAACAGAGAGAGAGAGAGAGAAAAAAAAAATGGACGCGAACGAGCTGAGGAGAGTGTTCCAGATGTTCGACAGGAACGGGGACGGGAAGATCACGAGGAAAGAGCTGAGCGACTCGCTGCAGAACCTGGGGATCTACATCCCGGAGGGGGACCTGACGCAGATTATCGAGAAGATCGACGTCAACGGCGACGGCTTCGTCGACGTGGACGAGTTCGGGGAGCTCTACCAGACCATCATGGACGAGCGGGACGAGGAGGACATACGAGAGGCATTCAACGTCTTCGACTAGAACGGCGACGACTTCATCACCGTCGACGAGCTCCGCTCCGTCCTCGCCTCCCTCGGCCTCAAGCAAGGCCAGACCCTCGAGGACTGCCGCAAGATGATCAGGAAGGTCGACGTCGACGGCGACGGGATGGTCAATTTCAAGGAGTTCAAGCAGATGATGAAAGGGGGTGGATTTGCGGCTTTGAGTTCCACTTAGATTCATAATTGCTTCCTCTTCTCTTCTTTTCAATTGATGAAAGGGGGTGGAGCGCGATCTTCGAACAACTCCCCGGCTCTCGTCGCCATTTTCTTGGTTTCGGTGGTTTGGAAATTGGAATTGGATTTGGGAAATTGAGGAGCGGGTGGTGTTTGAGGAGATATGTGGGGAATTTGGTTGTTAAATGGTTGAAGGAATGAAGAAAGGGACAAGGACATGGGAGGAAGAAAGTTTGAGGAAATGGCGGGTGGGAATTGCGAAGGGAAGGCGCTCCACTTCAACGTCGCGGCGGCGAGCTGTTGTAAACTCGGCGATCTGAACCGAGAGTCGCTGGGCTGCGAGGCAAGTGATCGGAGATTAGCTGGGAGCAATTATAGGTTTTTTATTTTTTTTTTATTTTTGATGAAGGTAATAATGAGGTGAAAAATATAAAAGTTTACTTTTTTATTTTTAATAATTTTTTAATTGCCACGTCACGTATTTAACGGTCAACTGTGAAAGTTGACTGCCACGTAAGCTGGAGTTAACGGAAATAGACGGAGAGTGACCAAACTTGAATAATTTAACTAATTTGAGTGATCAAGACTGGATTTAAATATTTTCAGTGACCAAACATGAACGTTTTTTATAATCTCAGTGACCAACCATGCAATTAATCCATAATAGAAGGGTATAAAATGCTATTAATTGGAAAAAAAACAAAAGAGTAGCAGAAGTGGCGGCGTCTTCCAATATTCCACGTCGCCTCGCACTGCCGGTTGATTACAACAGTTGACTCTTTCCCTGCCACCTTCGCCGGAGACGATCCCCCGGATATCTCTCTGAAGATTCCTTTGCCCTCCTTTTTCGGATTTCCCATTCAAAATATATTGACCCTTAAATCATCTGATTCAATTCATTCACATTTTAACATTCTAGCAGCTGCTGCTTCTCATATACTTGCCCGGAACTCCACTCTCCACTGTAAGCGCCCCATAAAACCAGTAAAAAGCTCTTTCTTTTTTCCTCCCTCCCAGTCTTTTTTTTTTTTGAACAATCCTCCCTCCCAGTCACCAACTGCTTTATTGTTATTTCTTTTTGCTTCAACTTAAAGTTCACTCCTTTCAGTTTTCGAGGTCAGTCCGACCCATCCTGACTTGCCCACTCCTTTTGCCTCGATTCGCTTTTCCTCATTGCTGTATGTTTCAGGGTTCGGGTCTGGAAGGTAGAAACTAGAAAGGCCTCAACTTGGAATCGGATTGCTACTCTTAATTGGTTTTTGAGCAACTGGGTTGGGTATATTTCAGGAATGATATTGCCAGTTATCTTACTGTTTCTTGCAACTCTGCAAGAAGCAAGTTCCCATGGAGATAATCCCTTGGCGGGGATTGCTATCCACGAGGCAAGATTCGCTCTTGAAGAGTCCGCTTTTATCAAAGCCTCTCCTGGTGTTCTTGGAGCTCAGGTGAAGCAAATAGTTTCATCACAGTTGCGGTATGTAAGTGAATGTTTTTGGATCCTGATTCTTTATGGAAATGCTAATTTTTGCAGGGGGGAAATCCAGAGTGGGTGACGTTGAGTTTCACTTCAGCAAACCCATCAAACGATGATTGGATTGGAGTCTTCTCTCCTGCTGATTTTAGGTAAAGATTGTTCCTTTTCCAGCGGTGAATAGTTTCCTGTTTATTGCGAGAACTCAAGAATACTGAGCTGAGTGTACGCACCAATTTTCATGTTCGCAGTGCTGCCATTTGTGATTCTGAAGGTTCGATGGCTGGTGCTCCATTTTTGTGCACTGCGCCAATCAAGGTTGGCAGGAAATGCTCTTCTTTTTGTTTTGTTTCCCCCATGAGTTTGCATTCACTGCTGAATGTGATTGATGTGAAGTGGAATAAGGTTTGACGTTTTTTCGGTTGCTCTCTTGCAGTTTCAGTATGCAAACTACAGCAGTCCGAGATATAAAGCCACTGGAAAAGGTTCACTGAGGCTTCTATTGATTAACCAGAGATCAGACTTTTCATTTGCACTCTTTTCTGGAGGATTATCTAAGGCATGCTCATAACCATTTCTTCATTGGTATTTTACTTGATTATTGATCTTGGTATAGATTTGACCATTCTGCTGACTTCATTTACTCGTTCTGTTCCATCCTATGACAGCCTAAGCTGGTGGCCGTGTCGAACAAAGTTACTTTTGCAAATCCAAATGCACCACTTTACCCACGCTTAGCTCAAGGAAAGACATGGAATGAAGTAAGCCCAGTCCTCTTCTCTGGAGTATTAACCAATTTCATGAATGTTGGAGGCTATTGCACTCTATCTGTAGAATGACTAGTCTTGTTGCTTCATTTCCCCCCTAAACCTTTCTTATACTTATGCTTTATGACTTAGAAACCACAGGATTATTTAGCTGGGAGCCCATCCTTCCCATATTCATTTTGGATCCAATATTTGTGGTGTTTCTGGTCTTAATTTGGTGCAGATGACTGTGACTTGGACAAGTGGTTATGGCATAAGCTCTGCTGAACCTTTTATTGAATGGGGTCAAAAAGGAGATGTTCGTGTTCGGTCTCCAGCTGGCACTCTGACTATTGATCGTAGCAGTATGTGCGGTGAGTGACCTTATTCCTCCTCCATTGATTACTACATCAGCTAAATTGGACAAACATTACTTTTCAGCTTGAGCAAAATACAGATTCTTATACTGTATTTTGCATTATTACGGGATTTTCTGAATAACCCGATTTATGTCTTTCATAATACTTTTTTAGCTTTGAAAACATGGACTACTAGTTATACGCTATGTTATTTGGCTGCATGAACTGTGGCTTTCAAACTTTCTCCTTTCTTTCTATAAGTATATAATGATGTCTGATCAACAAATCATATGCAAACAGGTCCCCCGGCAAGAACTGTAGGGTGGCGTGATCCTGGATTCATTCATACCAGTTTTCTGAAGGAGCTATGGCCCAACACCGTGTGAGTTTATACACTGCGAACAAGACCTGCCATTTCCAGCCTAGTCTACTCATTCATAACTCAACCTTATTGATTTGACAGGTATACATATAAGCTTGGGCATAAGTTGTTCAATGGAACCTACATTTGGAGTCCAGAATATCAATTTAAAGCATCTCCATACCCAGGCCAAGATTCAGTACAGCGAGTCGTCATTTTTGGTGACATGGGAAAGGTCAGAAATTTGTTGCATTGAGTATCTATAATCAAGTCAACAAGATAGCATATACAGACCATGTTCTAAGGTGTGTTTCATTCAATGATTCCAGGATGAGCCAGATGGATCTAATGTATATAACAATTACCAGCACGGTGCTCTGAACACGACTAAGCAGCTTATTGATGACCTAAAGAATATCGATATCGTCTTTCATATTGGAGATATTGTGTATGCAAATGGGTATATTTCACAGTGGGACCAATTCACTGCACAGGTTGCGCCAATTACATCAAAAGTTCCTTATATGGTCGCAAGGTAGGTTCGCCACATTGCACATTCCGTTTATCTAATCATATATTAGGTCTCATCCATGAACTTAAAGTTGTTTGATCGTCCTTTCAGTGGTAACCATGAACGAGACTGGCCGGGATCAGGATCCTTTTATGGGACTAAAGATTCTGGAGGAGAATGTGGTGTGATGGCCGAGACAATGTTCTATGTTCCAGCTGAGAATAGAGCTAAGTTCTGGTAAAGTGAAAACAAACAGCTTCCTTCATTCTTCTATTGATGCCTCTTGTTCATCTGCTTGTCAAGAAATATCTCATTCCTCGTTCTTCAAGTTAGCCCTTCAGCCCCTGCTTAAAACAACTAAAATAAACATTGAGGACTCCATTTTTTTTTCTTTTCGGGGTCGGTAATTCTTCCTTGTGATTATAAGAATACTTGGCTTTTGACAGTTCCTCGTTTTTCTTGTCTAAATCTGATGCGAAAATAATATCAATCTCTTAAGTATTTTTGGAATACAGATCATGTACGCACCAAGATTTTTTGACTACTCTTTTAGTTGGTTTTCTCCATATAAAAAAAATATCACCATCTGTCAATCTGTATTGTATTCTGGACTTTCGCATATTAAACACAAACAACTATATATTAATGGAACAAAAGTAAATATATTTTTACTCGGTTCTTTTGAACCAAAACTCTATATCCTAGCAAAACTCACATTCGTAAATTACATCTCTATAATGTATGAATTGGCGACATCCATCCATGCGTATCTAATATCTTGTTCCTAGCAAGGAAATTAGACATTTGCTGGCCGATTATTGTTTGGTGCAAAAGTCATTGCCCCCATAAGATTTAACTTTCCCTCAAACTGAGATTAGCACTAGTTGCTTCTCTCTTCCAGTCGTCTGATTGTGTCTGTTGAACAGTCTCTCTTTTACTGGTTTGAAGTTTACCTGTATCCAATGGTGAACCGTAGAAGTTTCTTTTTGTTTTCCAACCAGGTATTCGACGGACTATGGAATGTTCCGCTTCTGTGTGGCCGACACAGAGCATGATTGGAGGGAAGGGACAGAGCAGTATGAGTTCATCGAACGCTGTTTTGCTTCTGCTGATAGACGAAAGCAGCCATGGCTAATCTTCATAGCACATCGTGTCCTAGGCTACTCATCTGCTTCCTGGTACGGTGCCCAAGGATCATTTGAGGAACCCATGGGAAGGGAGAGTCTTCAGAAGCTATGGCAGAAGTACAAGGTCGATATAGCTTTCTATGGCCACGTGCACAATTACGAGAGGACCTGTCCCATTTACCAGGTAATGGGGAAAAAAGAACTTTTACTTTCAGCAGATGGCGAATGAGTTTCGGTTGTTCATAATTTGATGAGAAGTGGTGGCATTTGGTCGACTTCAGACACGAAATGCTTGCGACCCCCTGCCATGATGTTATTTCTTCTTCTGATAAAAGCTGCTGTGGCATATTTCTCCATAAATTTGAGCTTTATCAGACTTTTCCAAAATTTGAACTTTTATCATATACTGTGAAGTAGTATTTCATAAAGGGTTGTCCAAGCGAACACTGTAAATTTGATAAACTGCTCACATCATGATGGTTATGGGGAGTCAGTAGACTAGGCAGAGTGTCGTGATGGGTAAGAATATGTTTTAAGACAGACAGGGTCATGTTGACTTGCATTTCAAGTTTTGGGTCCTTGGTCACTTTAGATGAGCCGAGTTTGGATCAGATTTACCGGTTAGGTCGACATTTTACACACCTGTAAATTTTTTGATTAGATTTCAGTGATTCTATTTTTCGTCGTATATTGTGCTGCAGAACATCTGCCTGGACAAAGAGAAGCACAACTACAAGGGCCCCTTCAATGGGACAATACATGTAGTGGCTGGAGGAGGAGGATCAGGTCTGGCAGATTTCACCCCTCTCAACACCACCTGGAGTTTGTTCAAAGACCATGATTACGGGTTTACGAAGCTGACAGCTTTCGACCACTCGAACCTGTTGTTCGAGTATAAGAAGAGCAGCGATGGGAAGGTCTATGATTCATTCACAATCAACAGGGATTACAGAGACATCTTGGCTTGCAGTGTGGACAACTGTTCCCCGACAACCTTAGCATCTTAGCACACGCGGGAAAAAACCATGGCAGGCATTCGGGTTATATAGTATGTGGCCTTTGTATTTTTTAGTGTAGTCAAAGAGGTTTGGCTAGAACTTGTGAACAAAACCACATGCCTTTTGTGTAATTTCTTCATTTGGCATCGAGCATGAATGAGAAATCCCTATAGATGGATCAACTTGTTTTCTGTTTGATTCATCAAGGTTCAAGTGCACTAGCAATTGAATTCATAAAGGGTTGGTAAACTCTCAAAATCCAAGGTCACCTTTATTTCTTCTTTTTATGACCGACACTTTTCTGATCTTGCATAAACAGAATGAACTCAATTTTTACAATGGAACATCCTTTCAGTATTTGTTTAAAGGTTAATATTATCTTATGGCCTGAACTTTGACCAAAATAAATATCTTGGCCAATCTTTTCGATCTATAACATTCTGGCCCGAACTATACACCAAAATAAACAATTTAGCCAGATCCGACTTTTGACCGTTAACTTGGACGGTCAAACGTGTTGACCGTTAGTCAACGCGCCATGTCACTGCCAAGTGAGCATCAAATATTTAAAATAATTCAAAATTTCCACACATTCCCTAATTTTAAATTATTATAAATTAAAAAAATCATCTAATAAAATAAAAAACGAAAAAATTAAATATTTATCAGATCTTCTGACTTGGCAGTGACGTGGCGCGTTGACCGTTAGTCAACGCGTTTGACCGTCCAAGTTAACGGTCAAACATCGGATTTGGCCAAATTGTTTATTTTGGTGTATAGTTCGGGCCAGGATGTTATAAATCGAAAAGATTGGTCAGAATGTTTATTTTGGTCAAAGTTCAGGCCATACAAAAATATTAACCCTTGTTTAAATATACATGACTTGAAAAAGAGTATAGGGTGACAGTGAATAATTTAATGTTTGTTTCGGAGTCACATAATATATATTTCATTTTTTAGACGGAATTGATATTCAATTTTATAACTTATGATTGAACGACTGCCACATCATTTTTTCAATTGCTTGTTTTAAAAATTAATTAAAATTAATTCCTTATCTCAATCATTTAAATTATTGTAACGAGAAGATTTTTTTACACACAACTACTCAATTGGATCCGTAGTGCTACATACTTATTGTACTCAAACCAACAGGTTTGTTTGGGTATGAGAATTGATTTTTGGGATTTAAAATTTCAAAGATCAAATTGTGTGGATACTATAGATATCACATTAGAATTTTGCCCAAGTTTATGGGTCGATTTCAAATACATATTATTGGGCCGAATAGGAGATGCCACCATATCTTTCAACCAAAGAGAAAATGGGTCGCATGCCCAATCACATTGTCGAAGGTGGAACCTATCAGAAAAAGGACAGACAATAGTATGTCTCCTGCGCAGAACCCACACATCAATGCGTATCTTTTAGTATGTGATGACACTTTGTTGTCGACGCACATAGTCTCATCTCAAGAGTATACGAAGTGTTAAATATCATGACATAAGTCGACGCCAAAAGAGGTAGCTACACTTAAGACTATTTGGTTCTCTCTCTATAAACTTGCAAAATTACCTCGTTAGAAACTAACTACTTACTTGCTTTGCGGAGGGGGGGGGGGGGGGGGGGGAGCCTAACAAGTCCACGAGACCCTCTGTATTCATGCCAGAATGTGTACCTACTGAATGGGACATTCGTCGACCAAGTGAAGGTCTAGCCCACATGGGAGGGTAATAGGGCTTCAACAAATTGTGTGTCAGATAGAGATGTAGGAAAATATAATGGATCATGACAGCGATGAAGTACACTATTAGACCGCAACTTGAGGGATGTGAGATGAACCTAGACCCCCAAGTTTCATAAGGACGAGAGTCTTATGAGAGCGAGGGACCTGTGGTCGAGAGGCGATATCCAACTTTTTGCTTGGCTTGCACATTCCTCTAAAATCTCGTGAGGACTTGTGGCTAGGATGAAGACGAAATCACCCAAAACCTCTCTGAGCTCTTCTTTCTCACTCTACCGTCTCTTACCCTATGTTTTCGCTATCTAATATTTCTTTTATTGTTCCAAAACTGCCCATAAGTACTTATAGACCCATTCATAGAGTCGAAGTTCACGACCTTGATTTTGGAGGAGTTCACAACCATGAACTTTGCTCCAACTTGTGAACTGTTGAAAACTGATAGAAACCTGCATTTCTATTTAATTCGCAATTGAACTTATTTGATAGTTTATAATTGTTTATGGATTTATTGGGTATTTGGGATTCAGATTGGGGGTTTAATAAGTTGGGGTAGCTATCGGTAATTAGGAATTGTATTTAAACTCTTTTCTACGTTGAATGAGATCATGGAATAATTAAGCCCTAAACCTAGTAGCTAATTCCCTAGTCCCTTCTCCCTTCCTCTGCCGACCCCTCTCAATTCCCTTCCCCTACTCGGCGACCCAACCAGCCGCCCCTTCTTCTTTCTTTCCTTCTTCTTCTTCCTTGCACCAGAACCACTTCCCTTCCTTCTCAATTCCCACGTTCCCCTCTCCTTTCCCATACAACCAATCCGCCCAGAAGCCAATCAAGGCTTCCATTCCCATCCTTTCCATTTTCCAACATATTTCCATTGATTAGATAGAGCCCTGCTAGCGGGTTTCTATCATCTGGTATCAGAGCTCAGGTTCTGATTATTGAGTTATCGCAACTCTACACCGGGACGGACAGCAGCAAGATGGCGATCAACAAGTCACCGGCAGAGAAGTCCGACGCTGGATCCAAGGCGGCGGCCACGACTAGGGTTTCCCCACCCTTGGTGGACAACCGGCGAGAAGGAGTCGTCGTGGACGAAACAGAGGTTGACGATCTCCAAGCCTCGATGCGCACCATCATGGCTATGCAGCTGAGGACCGACTCCAACATGGAGGAGGTACGGGCGGAGGTGGAAGAGACCAGGCGTGAACGTGACGTGATCATGCAGCTCCTCACCAGCATGCAGGAGGAGCAGAGGCGGCTGGCTGCGGCATTGGGGCTCGGCGGGGGTGACCGGAGCGAGGTGGAGGCGCCTCGGCCGAACCAGGCAGCGGCGGCCGGTCCTGGCGCGAGCGCGGGAGGAAGGAGCGCGGCGGTCCCGGCGGCGAGCGGGGCTGCGGCGGGCTCGGCGGCGACGGGGCCAGGGGGAGGTTCGGCCGCGGGTATGGGCCCCGATGCTGAAGGGGCTCGTAATGGACCCGGGCTACTACCGACTCCGACGGCTGAGGAGATCGCGGCCTTACGCGGCAAGGCGAAGATGCCGGGCTACGACAACGTGGTCCAGAACCCGTGCTTTACCCAAGTGGGCCCACACTCCATGGAGCGTGAGATGGGCCGAGTGCAGCCGGCCGGGAGCGGGTACGATCGGGCAGGCGGGGCGGATCGGGCCCTGGTGATCCAACCGGGCCCAAATGGGCCGACCGGGCCGGGTTGGACCGAAGGTGGACGGACCGGAGCTGGGTGGACCGAAGCCGGTCAGACCGGTGCGGGGCGGACCACCAATGGGCGACCCGGGGTGGGCCGATTTACCAACGAACCTCACCGGTTCGGGCTAACTCCGGATGGTCGACCAGTGGCGGACTGGCGGGCCCAGCTTGAGAGTTCGAGTGCCTACGGACCCCCGATGGCAGCAGCAGCACACCCAGGGGTTCCACCGGGCGGGTACGGCGACTACTCAGGTGAGGCTGGGCATGGCTGGAGTGCAGGAGGCGACGCAGGCGGACCTCCGGGGTACCACCGAGGTTACCCCAATGCTGGCAGGTATGGTGGATATGATCAGTATGATGATGAGTATGGGTTGGTGTTTAGGGCCAAGCCCCCGACCATTGAGTTTCCAAAATTCAATGGTCAGGAGGACGCCGGCTTGTGGTTATATGCAGCTGACAGGTGGTTCAGGAATCACCCGACTAGAGAGGAAAGGAAGGCGCAACTGGCGTCCTTCTACCTGGAGGGAGACGCCCTGCATTGGTGGGAATGGTTGGAGCGATCCTATGCGGCCGCGCAGACGCTGATTACTTGGCCGATATTTCAGGAGGAGCTTCGCTACCAATTCGGCAAATCAGAGGGCTGGGCGCCGGAGCAGCTGGCCAAGCTCAGGCAGACCGGTTCGGTAAGTGATTACCGGGCAGAGTTCCTCAAATTGGGGAACCAGTGCAAAGGAGTCCCAGAAGAGACCCTAGTGGGGATGTGCATGGCAGGCCTAAAGCCTGAGATTGCTGCGGCAGTCAAGATTTTTGAGCCGGATACCTTGCGGACTGTGTTTCGTCTTGCAGGGCACAAGGAGGAGGAGCTGGCGAGCTGGAGGAACGTCATAGGGCGATACCCTAAGCCTGGAGGAGGAGGTCACACCGGCGCAGGGAGTAGCGGGAGTGGCGGCACCGCCGTTACTGCCAGTGGCGGGGCTGGAGCGGCACCAGGAGCAGTTGCCCCGGCAGCAAGGCTTGGGCCGAGAGCTCCGCCTAAGGGCTTCGTCCGGCTAAGTTCAGCAGAGATAGACCAGAAGAGAAGAGAAGGCAAGTGCTTCAACTGTGACGAGCGATTCACCATTGGACACAAGTGCGCGAAGCCGGACTTGATGATGCTGATCGGAAGATGGGAAGATGAGGCCGAGGATGATGCGGCGGAGGGTAAGGGTGAAGACCAGGTGGAGGACTGGCAACCTTGAGGACAAGGTTGATTCGAAGGAAGCGGGGATGATAGAAACCTGCATTTCTATTTAATTCGCAATTGAACTTATTTGATAGTTTATAATTGTTTATGGATTTATTGGGTATTTGGGATTCAGATTGGGGGTTTAATAAGTTGGGGTAGCTATCGGTAATTAGGAATTGTATTTAAACTCTTTTCTACGTTGAATGAGATCATGGAATAATTAAGCCCTAAACCTAGTAGCTAATTCCCTAGTCCCTTCTCCCTTCCTCTGCCGACCCCTCTCAATTCCCTTCCCCTACTCGGCGACCCAACCAGCCGCCCCTTCTTCTTTCTTTCCTTCTTCTTCTTCCTTGCACCAGAACCACTTCCCTTCCTTCTCAATTCCCACGTTCCCCTCTCCTTTCCCATACAACCAATCCGCCCAGAAGCCAATCAAGGCTTCCATTCCCATCCTTTCCATTTTCCAACATATTTCCATTGATTAGATAGAGCCCTGCTAGCGGGTTTCTATCAAAAACCTTATGCAATTTAAGGGCAAGGTCATGACCTTAACCTGGCCGTAATCATGTTCA